TAGGGTTTCTATATTAGGCTTAGGGTTTGGGGTTTAGTGTTTAGGGTTTAGGGTTTAGGGGTTTAGTGAGGGACTAATCTTGTACCTGAACCTTTCTGGAGGGTCAAGGGGCTCCAGAACAGGAGAAAGGCTACTCTCCCGCGTGGCGCGCGCGGTGGCGAAGCTGAAGCGCTGAGGACTCGCCCAAAACCGGTTTTTGGTTTAGGGCTTTGCGTTTAGGGTTCAGGGTTTGGTTCTAAAACTAAACCCCGAGGAAACCCGCTAAACCCTAAACCCTAAACCCTAAACCCTAAACCCTAAACCCTAAACCCTGGAGTACCATGAAACCAGGTAAGCATACGGATTCCATAACTGGAGTTTCAATGGCCCTCATAAAGCGTGTTCAGAGGAACCTCACTGCAAGATCCCGTGGCTTGTATGGTCCTGTGGGCCCCCGTGAAATGAATCTAGAGGTTTGAATAGGTGATTATACAATTTCTGAGGTTTCTTTAGTAAATGTAATCACAGCATATCATATCCCAAACTCTGCACGGCTCATGAAGGCCTCTATATCAAGCGCGAAACCCCCCCTAAAGCCCTCGTTAAAGAAGCTAACAGGTTTATACCAGAGAGGATTTAGGTTTCGGGGTACCGTGTTTTGGTGTTCAGGTAATGGGTCGGATAACCGGCACGTGTCAACAGGGGTTTAGGGCTTCAGGGTTTTTAGGTTTATCTCAACCCCGAAAACTACGCGAAATGATGCAGCCCATAAAAGGCTATAGTTGTACAAACGTTTGGGGTCAAGATAGTTCTTCGGGTTAGGCTGCATTGTGGGTTTCGTTCAGAGCCCAGTGCGAGAAATGGCTTCCCATAGGGGTCCAAGTTCCCAAAGAGTAGGGTTTCAAGGTCCAAAAACCATTCAGCGTATGGATTTTGGTGCCTAAACCCTAAACCCTAAACCCTAAACCCTAAACCCTAAACCCTAAACCCTAAACCCCTAAAACTTTACTATTTGGGTACTCGGACCCTTTGGCTTCTCTTCTTTTAGCCGGGAGGAGCGAACTCGGAGCTTTGGAGTTTGCTGCTTTTGCCTGTGGACGCCTGCGAAATGCCCGGGTTTGGCAACATTCTAGGATTTCTGGTTTAGGGTTTAGGGTTTTTGGTGTTGGGTGCTTTCGGTCTTTCCGCTTGAGCAAGTTTGGGTTTTTGTCCCTGCAGGAAACAGGGGGCCGCCAGGCAGCCACAATTCTTGAATAGACTCTTGAGAGGAACCCTAAACGCCCCAAAACCCAAAACCCTCTAAACCCTGAGCCCCAAACCCTAAACCCAAAACCCTAGGCCCTAAGCCCTAAGCCTTGCAACACAGCATCGGCAAGGACGGAGGACCAGTGGATTGCCAGCATGGACCTGGAGGTGTCTTCCATCTCTTGGGCCTCTCAACCATCGGTTTAGGCTGCGGGGTTTACGGTTAGAAACGCTAGGTAAACCCCTAAACCCTAAACTCTAAATCCTAAACCCTAAACCCTACCCCCGAAAATTTAGGGGTAGTTTAGTTGTTGCGGATTTTCTTGCGGGGGCCCGGAAGTTTCACATGTATCATCCCTTCTAACCTAGGTCGAGGCTTGAGAAGGCTGTGGTTTGTTGGATTTGGGGGTTTCCGAAAATAGGGGACCCTAATAGAGTACCCCAAATAGTAGATCCTTGTTATAGGGACTCCAAAATAAGGTACCCCTAATTTTCGGAAACTCCCATTTAGGGTTTAGGGTTTGGGACTGGGTTTCAGCTTTGCGCCGGCGGTTTTCGATCTGGGTCTCGGGGTTTAATTTGGTGGTTTACCCGCTACGAAAAATATCTTAGTTCTGAGTCATGAGCAGGACCTATTTTCAGGGGGGGGATTCCAGAAAATCCAAATTCTAAGATCCTTGTGTTTAAGTGGTCTTTTTTCTGGCATAGGGGCTTTTGTTTGGTTTCAGGCCTGGCCAAGATAGGTGCCTCACTCAATACGGTTCAGGGGTTATCCTGCATCCTACGTACGGAATCAGAAAGCAGTGGGTTAGGGATTATGGTTGTTTCGGGCTTAGGGTTTACAGCAACTGGTGCATGGTGTCAAGAAAGTTCTAGACATGACCACTACACCCTAAACCCGAAACTTAAACCCTCGCCCCCTCACCTAAGAGACACGAGTCGCAAGTCTCAAGACACCCGCAGGATGCACAACCTTTCGGGCTTTTCGTTATTCTCCTACTCCCTGAACCCCCCAAAAGCAGGTAAAATAATGGCCCAAAGCCCATACAAAAGGCGATTATTCTACATACTTCTGGGGTCCAGGTCAGTCCTACAATACTCATCTGTGCTGCAAGCTGAGACCTGGACCTTCTACGCGGTATCTTCAGCGTTAAGCCCTAAACCCCGCACAGCCCAGAAGCCCAAACCCCCTACATCCTAAACTCTAAGGACTTTAGGAGGGACCCCTAATAGGGACCCTTAATCCCATTACCTTTAATAACCATTGTATAGTCCCGAAATACCCCTTATATAGCCAGGTGGTCTCCATATTAACCCCCAGTAACCTACAAGGGTCCCTTTTAAGGGTCCCTGCTAAAGTCCTTAGATAAACCCTTGAACCTGACCCCCTACGTTGTACCCTCAAACCCCCTGCAGTCACAAGTCTTGTGTCTCTGCTCAGTGACTCCCTAAGCCCTACACCCCCTAGGTAAGCAATCCCCGATAGTTTACGGAAGATGATGTACAAAGAACCATTTACAGGTCTTAGGGTTTATGGTAACTTATGATGACACAAGGTGCATTCCCCTAAACCCTAAACCCCTAAACGGATGTTGGGCAGTTGCGGCTCTTTGCCAGGGCTTCGGCAAGGAGGTTCATGCCCTCGGAGAGAGACTGAAGGCAGCGCAAGGTCCGCCGACGTTTAGGGTTTAGGGTGTAGGGTTTGGGTTGGGTTTAGGGTTTAGGGTTCTGGGTCTTTGAGGGTTCTCTTGGCTTTCTCTGCTCTTGCCTCCGGTCCCCATGCCCTAAAGCCTAAACCCTAGGTACCCTCACGAGAGTTGCCATGGGGTTGTGAGGGTCCACAGGGCCCACGAACTTTGTAGGATTCAGGGGAGCAGTATTCTAGGCAACCCTAGAACCCTAAACCCTCTATTAAACCCTAAACTTCGGGTTCAGGGTTTGCCCCGAAGCCCTATTCTCATGATTACGGCCCCGACATTATCAAGGTGCTCAGCACATGTGCACTGTTGCGAGGGTCTTCGTCTAAACTCCTGAACTGGTGACTTCCAGAAGAGCTCACGTACAGGGTTTACCAGAACCTGTTGTTTTGTACGGCCGGTATATAAGTTCTATGTTAGGGTTCATAGAAAGAGCCAAACAAGGAGGCTTTGGTAGGTTAAGGTGGGGTTTAGAGTCCGTCTGATCAGTTATGACCCTAGAACCGAGGCCCTTGTTTTGCTCAAGAGTTTCTCATGCGTCTGTGAGTGTTTCAGTCCCTACATCATATACTGTAAGTCCACGCCAGTATCCCTCCACCCTCCCCAGTCGAAAGTGGCCGAAAAGCCTTAGATCAGGACTCTCAACAGTGAGTCCTAAGTTTAGGGTTCAGGGTTTAGGGTCGAAAGCAAAGGGAGCCCTCAACTTTAAACCCTAAACCAGAAGCTCCAAACAAGTATTTAGGGTTCTATCTGTTGGGGTTTCAGGAGAGGACGATCAGAAGCACCTGCATAAGATGCGACTCGGCCGCAGCAGCCTTGCGTTCGGTTTCGGGTTTGGGGGCTCTGGTCAACAGTTGAGGGTTTAGGGCTTACAGGGTTTTGCGGTTCATGGCTTCAGGGTAGGTAAATGGTTTCGAAGGTTAAAACCCTAAACCCTAAACCCTAAACCCCAAAACCCAAAACCCTAAACCCTATAAGGGTTTAGGGCCTTAGGGTTTAGGGCCTTAGGGTTTCTGGATCCTAGAGGTCCCAGGTTACGTCAGAAGCAATCCTACCCCCTGACCTTTCTTGGAAGCCTCCTTCCCTAGTAATCCTGAAGAACAGAAACACTTGTGCACTTGTTGTTGAGGCGGATACCGGCCGCTAGGCTCAGGACTGGAAGGATCTTAGAACTGGTTTTTAGCGTCCTGCGAAGCCGATAACCCTAAGGTCCTAAGGTGCAAACAGGCCCCAACCTCATGGCTCATCCTGATTTAGGAATTTCAAAATGTAATATTCGTAGTACTCCTTAGGGTTCCTTTCCCATGATTGCAGAAAAAATCTATCATAGCCCAACTTAGATCAGAAGGCACCTATGCTAGGGTTTGGTCTAGGGTTGTGTGTTGAGTTTACAATAATATAGGGTTTCCGACTTCATGGCTCCCTAAATCCTAAACCCTACATAAAGTTTCAGCTTAGCATGCAGATGCTGGATGCCGCAACGATGCTGTGAGTCAAGCTGCGCTCCTTTTAGAGCTCGATAACCCCCCGAAACCCAAAACCCTGATTAAAGGCTAAGCCCCAAACTCTAACTAAACCCTAAACCCGAAACTCGAGCTAAACCCCAAACCCTAAACTCGAGCTAAACCCCAAACCCTAAACTCGAATTAAGCCCTAAACCCTACACTCGAATTAAGCCCTAAACCCTTTCAGTTCGAGTCTAAGTTGGACCAAACCTGCAGCTGTGAACTCTACCATCGTTTCTGGGTCAGGTCATGGGGCTTAGGCAAAAGAGAGACAGCTGGCCAAGGTTCTATAGGGTTCAGGGTTTAGGGTTTAGGGTTTAGCACTCTCTGGCTATGCACAGTAGAGATTGTGAGCAAACGCATGGCTTTCTGGCGCGGTCTGTTCTGTGGAATCGTTCTGGCTGGAATGCTGGCGGCAAGCTCGTTGCATTCATTTATGATTTCGCCGGTTTCACCTCCCTCAAGCCCCGTGGGTGCAGCTCATGAGAGGGCTGTTGATCCATCGCGAAAAACAGTTTCTGCACACGAGGCAAGTATTATACATTCATCGACGGTATCACCTCGCTCCAGCCGCATGGATGAAAGTGTTGAGAAAGCTGACGAGATTGTGAGGAAGCACCCTAGCATCGCTGAGAAAGCTGATGATTCTGATCCCCCGAAGCAAACGTTTGCTGCACAGGAAGACCAGGAGGGAAAAGTGGGGTCGATGCAGACGTGGGTTATCCTCCTTGCTCAGCAGCGCTCCGGTACCCACTGGCTGACGGAACAGCTCAACCAGCACCCGTGCATTGATATAAAGCCCGAAATTCTTTGCTGCAATCACACTTCTTGGTGGCCTCCTAAGCTGCGCAGAATGGCCATCCAAAGATTTTTCGATCCTGCAGCGGTGCCGAGTGACATGATTGTCGATGGTAAGAAGATGCCATCGGTAGTGGAGAAATACGTTCAGGAAAGCGCACTTCGGCTAAAACGCGGTCGAAGTATCCGAGGTTTTAATTGGAAAATCGACCAAGGCTTTTTGAATGACTGGCCTGACTGGTTTCGCCTGTATCTTGGCCGGACAGTAGCACCCTTTTGCCTTTTCTACGTAGGGGTAAGAATCGGTTAGCATCTTTAAGCTCCTTATGTGCCGTTTCTACGTGGGAGTCGGTTAGCATCTTGAAGCTCCTGTGGGGATGCTGGGCAACCTAGGTATGCTGTCAACCACTCCATCCGAATCCTCTGGGTGCAGCGCAGGAACCTGCTGAGAAGACTCGTGTCGGGCTATGCTAATGCCATCCAGCACCTGGCTGCGACAACGGATCCTAGCTTGCTCAGTGGGAAAATGTGTACTAAGCTATTCTTCTTGGCTTCTGGGTTCAACGAAGACTTTTCCTAGTGTAGGTCCTAGTGGGTTCCTGAACGCATGGAACGACCTAGGATCAGTCGATGGCCAAGACGGTCGCGATGCAAAAAATCAACATAGAGCCCAAGGGGCTTCTGAAACATCTAAATGAGAGTACCAGGGAGAATGACAGTGTCAGCCGGTATCTGAAATCCAACGCCATTCAGCATCGGCGCGTCTACTACGAGGACCTTCTGAATGGATTAGACGACGTTTGGGCTTTCATATTGGGTGGGACCGCATGCAAGGTTCCAACAGTCAAGGCGTCCTCACACTATCAACAGCTGCATAGCGGCAAGCTTGAAAAGTTTGTGCAGAACTGGCATGAAGTCCGAGCGGCGCTTTCTGGCACGCAGTGGTCGCACATGCTGGTCGAATGAATGCCTGCGGAGTACTGCATGTGTTTACGACCTGAGAATGTTGTTTCAGCGGTACGAGTTGTTTGAGCTGACAACAGATCATATGTGACCAAACGATACAGGGATTTATATGTGCATGCATACCTGGCATACCCGCCTACGATAAAGGTCCGCATGTCCTGGCCCCCGCTTTCGAAGACGTGAACTTCGTTTGCAAATACTCGGTACATGTGCATATAGAGATCTTTGCGGGGAGGTATGTATGTGTCTATGCATGCATGTATGTGTCTATGTATGCATGTATTCATGTATGCGCGTATGCATGTATGCATGTGGTTATGTATGTATGTATGTATGTATGTATGTATATATGTATGTATGAACACTTAACCTCTAAGCCCAGGTGCCACAGTGGAGATGCCGGTGGCCCGGCATGTTTAGATGACGCCGCACACTTGACTACTGTGGATTAAGATGCATCGGGGCCTGAAGGATCTGAGTAGGCTTGTGTAAGGGTTTCATGTTGTTTACAATTCAGGGTTAGGGTTTCATGTTGTATTTATAGTACATTATGCCTCGCTTGTTCTTGTTAAGGCCCCTCTTTTCATGGGGTGACTGGAGTCCCACCTGGCTGGGGTGAATACTCTGAAAAGGTAGATTGCGGGCTCGGGGTTCAGGAGAGTCCCAACTGGCCACGGTTTCGGGTTTAGGGTTTAACCCTTTCTGCCTATCCGTTAGGCTCGGGTCTTTCTGAGCTGTACGTGCATGTGATCCTCAAGGAAAGTGGCTTAATATTGGTTGGCCGCGCATATCTTCCAGTATACCATCGGTTTTTCCAGGAATTTCCAACGGGTATCCTTTGAGTTTTCGGTGGTACTCCAGTCCATAATTGAATGTTCAGGGCTCACCTTTGGATGCCACTGGCTGGTGGACAAGTAGGGCATCGAGAGGGGGACGGTCCAGAAGCTTTCTGACCGAAACCCTAAACCCTAAACCCTAAACCCTAAACCTTTCTGACCGAAACCCTAAACCCTAAACCATAAGCGATTGGGTAGACCCTGCCCGGTAGTCGACGCCCCGATGATGTAGTAAGCAGTCGCTACAAAGGACCATACAGACTCGGTTAGTACCGTGGCCGGGGTCGTGGTCTAGCATCTAAAGCATCGTCTCCGAAGGGCTGGATTAAGCAGATAATCTTGCGTAGACACTTGACCTGTACAGTTTTGTTTTTTAGTTTTTTTTGTTGAGGGGGGGGGGGGGGCTTAGGGCTTCATGACATCAAAGGCGATGGCTGCACTCACATTGTGCTGTATACATCGCGCTTGAAGTTGCTTTAGTTATTTTCTACATGGCGCCGCTTCTTCAGCAACGCGCGGTGTCACGATTAGGATAACTGATGGAATGAGACATCATGCTGAGGCCAGCGTGGTTGTTGATTAGTTTAGCCTACCCTATACCCTAAACCCTAAAACC